TCTCGAGGTTGACCAGACCAGAGCAGACCAGCTGAGGTCGCCCCGCCCTGCACTGCAGCACGCAGCCCGGCAACGGCACGGCCTCCTCGTAATGCGTTTCCGTTCGCCCGCTCCCCAACACCCATCACCAGCAGCAGACGGGGGGAGACACGTCTCCTCCCTACACGCCACGCAACGCCCAGCTTCGAACGTGATTTATTACAAATGCCCCAATATTGGCCCCGTTAAAACTAGGCTGAAATTGGCTGGTTATGTGAGAGAGAAACACTATTTAACTGGTTTGGTGAACAGTAAAATATGAGGGGAGCAATCGGCTGGTCTGGAACTTCTAGACCAACGAACGGCCCCATTATGCTCTTGTCCACCTCACCTTTCTCTCCCTCTCTCTCTTCTTTTCCGCGGTGTGGGGAGGTGATTAGTGTATGGATGCTGCCTTGCTAGAACAATGCTCAGTCAGTCTAATCACCTGCGGTTGGTTTTGGTTCAGATGAAGCCATTTTCTCCTAATAATGCCAGGAATTTAGGACTTATTTGGTAGAGCTTTTTTTTATCATGATTCTCTAAGATGAGTGATGCTATGATTGAGAATAATTCTATTGGGTTCTCTGGTATAAACTCTATGCATAAACCGATTCTAAGCGTGGAGTGACCAGGAGAAGCTATATTTTCCTTATCTCAGTTTTCTAATTCATTTCAGAGAAATACTTCTCGAATAAGAAAAAAGAACCAATCGACACAACTCCAACATTCAGCCTAGAAGCTGCTCTGGAAACTGCACGCGCCCTGATCGGCTGGGGCTGGCTGACCAGCCCCCTTACATGGATACTATTCACATGAACCAGCCAGCAATACTTCTCTCTCACATAAACGAACCAACAACGATACGAACCAGCCAACCGAACATGCTAGCGAAACAAGCCCTTAGTTTCGACGCTTGGCACTCATGCTAATTATATTGCTAGGTTATTCTTCGCTACTTCATTCTCGTTTCGCAAGAATGCAGTGGTTTTATGTGATCTAGGATCATAATACTATCAAAGGGCAGACAAAATGCTGCCAATACCGCCAATAATAGTATCTCATTTAACAAATTCAAGTTAAAGAACTTGTGATGGGCACGGTCAAATTGTTTTCCCTTCTCGTGAGCACTGTTACGGCTCTCTAGTAAACAGAGTACTATATATAAAGAAAGCGATAGACTATGTGCATCGATGGATGCTTAGATAGAGTATATATGACAAGGCAAGAACTGGGACCGCACGCCATTGCCATTGCCACCCAATGCAAGGAGACGACAGTTCATCACATTCACAAGCAGCGCCTCTGCCTCCACGCAAAAACCATAACAAGCGATACAAAACAAAGCATGTGTTTCCTTGACCAGATCAGGATTTGTGTGTGTGTGACTCTGCTACATGCTGCCCTCATCTCATGCCCTCTCTTGTGTCATGCAATGCCTGGGAAGACGTCTTTGTGCTGGCCTCTTTGTCTTTGTGCAGGCTTGTTTGTAGCCTTTAGACCACATCCCCCAAGTGCTCGCCCTGCTCCTCATGCACAGCAGCACAGTGAACAACCAGGGCCACGCCACGCCCTGCTGTTGGTGCAAGCACAAGCAGCGCCATCTTTGCCTCCACGCTTTCGGTTTACAGAGACTCACAGATACAGCTATACAAGCTCCAGCTGCCATACCTCATACTGTATCCCTTCAATTCGCTACTTTTTAATTTCCCCTTCAATTTCATGTATGGCATTTAAGTTACATGTAGTGCATTTCATATTGCAATCATACAGGCATAAACTTAACTGGAAACTAGAAATGTTTCAGAAACTTTAAGATTCTTTTTTTTCAAACTTCAGGGATTTCCTTTTTAGCGCAGAAATTTCACAAGCGACCTGCCCGGATCGTCACGACGAAACCCCGTGTTCCAAACAATTCTAGGCATCCATTTACATGGACGCATGAATTAGATCGATATTCATTCATACAAAAATCTTGTATGATCTGAGGTTTTGTTTTACTACTGATGATCACAACATAGTCAAGTGTTCCACCAGAAAACAAAAACTATTGGTGCTTTGCTAGGACCAGGGCAGCCGGCCATCCAATGAGGTGGCCACTCACTTCTAGGCTCTGTTCGGCTGGTCTATAAGCCGCTTGTGCTGATTTGTACGGCTGATTTGTTGGGAGAGAAAAATACTGTACCATGGCTGATAAGTTGGCTTATAAGCCGGCTTATTGGTTGTTAACCCTTTTCTAGATCATCCTCCTTATTCACCCAACAACCATATGCATATGCATATGCAGCTCTAGGTTTGGGCAGTCCAGATTCAGAACTCAGAAGGCAGGCAGGCATACTATATCCTCTCCACACTTTAGATACAAGCTATCAGATGTGCTGCCATTGGTTGACACATGCATTACTGTAGGTTATCTTTAGTTGCCCAATGCCCATCTTAACATTGTACAGTTGATTAGTCCAAGAAAATCCCCTAAACATGTTTGATTTGATCTGCTTTGTGACGGACCTACAAATTTTTAGTGGTCCATTCATCTTGACCAGCTCGATCTCCGAGGTATCATACATGATAAGTACTGTAGATCAGTTTGAATGAAAACCAATCAGCCTGTTCGGCAAGCCGTAAACGATCGTGGATTATTTACTGCTGGCTGGTTTGGTGTAAGAGAAAAATACTATTCCAGCTTATAATCCACGATCGTATACGAGCAAGCGAACAGGCTACAGAGACATTTCCTCAAATTTATTTGGGTGCCTACACAGACATCTAGTTTATTTCAATATTTTTTTTGCTTCTCTCTCTTCCGGGGAAAAATGCTTACGGAAATGACAAAATCCATGCTCATATATTCCCTTTCTTCCTTTTTAGTCGCAGCAGCTTATGTACATGTACTTCGATCAGGCCTACAAAATGGAATCAAGATGTTCAAAATCTGATCTCCCTTGGGCACTCTTGATCTACAACTGAATTATTCTGTAAAGCACATGTTGCATTTGTTTATCTGACTGATCTAGGCTAACATTTTCAAGTTCAATCTCCATCCCCACAACCCCAAGTACCAGCTGGCCTACCTTCATGTCATGGAAACACTGTTTGAGAATAGCACAGAAGCATTTGTGACCAACTGTCCAGGCTTCAATGCAAGGAATCCCCTTTCCTTTATATAGCAACATTGGAGAAACAAAACAAAGACATGGAGGCACATGAATGAGAGAGAAAGAGAGAAGGTTTGGCAATGCCATGTCTGCAGCAGCCAGCAGGTAGCATGCATGCTTGCAGACTGCAGAGATGGTGGTGGTGGTGGTGGTGGACTGGTGGCTGTGCTCTGAGCACAGAAAGAAAGCCACTCCATTGCCCATGGGGGCAGGGCAGGGCAGGCATTTTCATTGACAGAGTGCAGGGCAAAAAGCTCTTTTTACCAGCTGTAAGGCAGGGTGCAATGTAAGACCTGCATTAGATAGTGGATGAGGCCAGAAGACCAACTTTAGGGTGTAGGGTTTTATCATGGGAAGGGTGAGAAAAAAAATTAAAGGCAGTGGATGTAAAGGTATTATCATTATTGTATCCATGAATGAAAGTTGTAATATTCTGGGCATGTGTGTGTTCATCTTTCTCTGCATGTGCATGCTGCCACATTGGTAACCTTGTTCTTCCATTTGACTAACGTATGGGAGTTTGTGTTTGAAAGAGTTTTCTTCTTTGAATTGAAGAATTACAATAAACACATGGTTACTTGTCCATTCCTTTGCGCCAACTTGGTAGTTGCCTATGTAATCCATATACACCTTATCATATAGTTTGAATTAATTGGTATTATATAGGACGGATTAACTATACCATTTCTCAAAACATGTCACATGCCACAGCTTCCAAACAACTTGCAAGTTGCACATCACCATTGCTAATATTTGGGCAATTATTGGCATAAAGTGCTAACCTTAGTATCTTTCTGGTACATTAATACTCCCATTCATATGCAACACTTGTCTTCTTTCCAACACAAGTGCACATTGTAATGTGCTGTTGCATACTTTGCTCAGCATGCACAATAATGACCAAAAGGCAACACTGTACTTACCACTAATCATGGTTGACAATGCCTTTCTTTTCGCACCGGCCATCTCTTCCTTTGCATCACTGTGGATTGTGCAAGTGCGGTGCAACAGTGGGGTTTGGCCAAGATTCATCGAGCATGTGCGAAACTGGTTGCAATGTAACAGGGAAAGGGTTGCATTGGATCCTCCTTCCTGAAGAAAAGGAGAACAAGAAGCACTGGCATGGTCCAGCCAGAACTGAATGAATGGCACTGAAAAATTGCAGCAGTCAGCAGAACTGATCAAGAAACCTACAGGGATGCTGTCACATATACACAGGCAGGCACAGCTTGATGCAATCTGATTCCATTCCTCATGAACAAGAGGGGTTACACAAGTACACAGGGTTTGTTACAAACCAATGTAACCCTTGCAAGTGCAGAGTGAAACACCACTCTCACATCCACTTGCACAAGTGAAAAAAGGAAACAGCTCTCTCCCTCTCTATAAACAATGGCAAAACCCTCAACCTCTCAAGTGTTGTTACCACTTGTTTTACATCTTCTCTGCAGCAGCAGCATCTCACCATATGCAATGCAACATTGCATCAGCAATGGTTTATCAAACAGTGCAACTTTGAAGTAAAGTTCACTGTGAAATGTGCCCTGTTTGGGCACCGGCATTGGGCTTATTAACCTAAGCTCTCCTCTCCATAGGAAAGCTCAGCCCTCTGCTTTGTTCATCTCTTCCACCTCTCACAAACCAAACCAATCCAATCTAACTACAGCCAATGCCAACCCATGGCAGTGGCTCAAAGAACCTAAAAAATCTCTTCTTTTTTGCAAACATATAAGTTAAAAAAGAAGGAAAGAAAAATGAAAGGGAAGATCAAACCAAGCCCCCCTAGACATCTGGCTAAAAATTGTGTCCCCGGTGGTGCTAGCTTTCTCAACGGATGCCCGTCAGCTCCAGCCTGATCCGCTTGTTCCTCGCCGCCACTGCCGTCGCAAAGGCGGTGGCGGTGTCCGTAACATCATCATCAACAAGAACAGAATGATATGTACTAGTGGCAATCTCGTTGGAGCCTGAACATGGCAATGATCTCTTGCTACCTCTCCTGTTCATGTCCCCAACCATCATACTGTAGCAGGCATGTACATGCTCCTGGTCAGAGAAACAAACACATCTAATTAAACAGAGAAATGGTAAAGTGAAGCTCATCTAATCCAAGGTTCATCCAGAGAGAACACTCATATGATCAAAATGCTACACAAGTAGGTACTAGTGGATGGAAGCAAGTGACTCACCTTCTCAATAAGACAAGATGGAGAAAGGTAGCTCATCTTGGAACCCAGTGCTTCTTTGGTCAGCAGAGGTCCATAGGTTGCAGCCAAGATTGCAGCTGCAGCCACAGTGGACGGCCTATGATTAAGCACGCTACCAGCTGCACAAACAGCCGAACACCGAGCAGACCAGACAGTCAGAGTAATGCACGCAAGACAGATCACTGGATGTCAGAAACGAGAGAGAGAAAAAATAAAAGATTCGATCTTGATGTGTATGAACCTTCAACCGTGGCAAAGATGAAACCGATGGCCTTGAGGGCAACGTGGCCGCCGGCGCCGGCGCCGCCGTGCGGGTGGACCCGGGAGGAGAAGCAGGGGAGGAAGTCGAAGGGCGTGACGGCGCCCATGCGCCACCCGAGCGTGGACAGCACCAGCAGCTCCATCCGGCGGATGGACGCCGAGTCGAAATCGTAGCCGACGGCGTGGAACTCCGACAGCGCCGGCACCTGGCACTCCTCCATCTTGGCGGCCACGGACACGCACGCCACGGACAGCAGCTGCGCCGCCCACGGCATCGCCTCCCTCTGCAGTCACCAATGCAATGCCCGGCGTCAGTCATTCATTCGCGCGTTGGTCCCCAAAAGCAGAGGCTTTTTTTGAAAAGACAAAGTTTTTTTTAACGGCGGCGCAGATAGATTACATCGACGCGTCGCCGGAGGAGGAAGCTATCAAAGTAGGCGATGGCGAGGTACGCCGTCCGGTGGCCGAAGCCGAAGCACCCGCGGGTCTGCAATGGGCGAACGATGCAATCAGATGCCATGCCAACCTGACGGCGTCAAGGAGCTAGAGCTGAGCTAATCGGGACTCACTTCAAGAATCCACTTGACGGCGGCGAGGCGAGCTTGCCGGAACCACTCCTCGGAGACGAGCGAAGGGTATTCTTCGTCTCCGTCGCCGTCGCCGTCGCCGTCGCAGTCGGCGGCTGAGTCGGAGGAGGAGGAGCAGAAGCTGGTCTCCTTGAACACCAGCTGCTCCAAGTACTCCTCTTCCTCCTCGTCGCCGGCATTGTAGAGCGGGATGAACTCGCCGTCGTCTACGACGCCGTCGCCGAGGTCGGCGCAGTCCTCCTCGCAGGTCAGCGAGAAGGCGCACTCCGACCAGTCATCAACCGCCGCCGCCGCCGCCGCCGCCTCCAACGGCGTCATCTCGTCAGTCGTCACCACGCTTATAGTTGATTAGTTACAGTGCACGTCGAGCAAAGCAAGAACCATGCGCGAGGGGCGCGAGCTCTGAAATATCTTAGCTATGGTGGTCGGCGGCGAGGTGGCGGCGGCGGAGGCTGACTGGCGGAGGCGGCCGTGGAAGTCTGGAAGAGGCCGGAGTGATGGCGAGAGTGAGATGGCAACCGAAGCCTCCTCCCTCTATTTAACTAGCTCTAGCTTTTTAACCGCTCTGTTTTTTTTTTAAAAAAACAAACAATTATTTACTGCTGGCCGGTTTGGTGTGAGAGAAAAACATTGTTCCCAGCTGAAAATTTACGATCATTTACGAGCAAGCGAACATGCAGTGTGTGTTCCAATGTTACCCCTCTGCATTTCTGGACATTGACAGTTTTGGTAAAACCTTGCCTTTTTTTTTAGCGCAAGTAAAACCTTGCTTTGAGATGGTATAAACTATGACAGTTTTGGTAAAAAAACTTCACCTTGGGCTAAGAGTACTGTACTAGTACGGACTACGGAACGATGTATGTGAGGTGCATTCATGTATTTGTGCATCTGTCACCTTAATTTACTGGTCATTTACTCTAAAGGGTGAGCCTAATCATTATTATGACCTTGCATTTGGAACTCTAAGTGCGTCAATACTCGTTACAATTTTTTATTTTTATTATCAAATATGCCCTTACGTTGTAAGTTGTAACAGGGTATACAACTTGTTACACTATAACATGGACGATGAGACATATATTCAATGACCACATCATGCGTTCCAATTCATTTTACAATCAGGTCCGTAACATGCCTGGTGTATGGGTACAAAAGGCTTAGAGATCCATGTAATAATCAGGATACACTACTCTAAGGACCTATTTGGAGTAATGCTCTAGCTTTGAAAAAATAAATTTGAAGCATTAGATTCATCCAGATCCATGATGGAGCGGCTCTATTGTGCATCTGAGCTCCCACAAACTTGTCTGGGAGATCCGCCTCCTCCAATATGGATTCATATGTAAATATAAAGAAATTAACCATGGGCTAAAATGGAAAACACCAACATAGTCATGGGTTTGTCTTCCTCGGCGAGGCAGCTGCACCGGGAGGCAGGGCATGAGGTGCAGCCTGCCGCCCGGTGTAGCCGGAGCTAGTGCGGCGGCGCCAGCGCCTGCTTCGGACGTGGAGTCGACGAGGAGCGGGCTCGTGTTGCGGTGTTAGTGGGAAGGCGGCGAGGCCGGCCGCGACGCCTTTCACCTGCGGCGGAGGTCCGGCTACGACGGCGCGGACGACGGAGCTCAGTGTGTGGCAAGGCAGGGTTGAGCAGCTCTGGTCAGCGATGGGGAGAAGAAAAAGAAAAATAGAAACTGATACTTGATTTTCGTCTCATAAAAACACTACCCGATGATTTAGGTACCCAAAAATTCAGGTTTGGGTATGCCCAAAGTAACCGAATTTGATAAAACCAGCAAAATAGATAAAACTTTAGTGACATTTTAAAGCAGTAAACAACAATTTTGACCAGCATTAAAAGAGAGAAATGTATAAGCAATCACACGGCTAGCAAATAACAAAGTAGCGAACAGCATATGTCTTCGACAACTGCACAAATGTTGTTCAAGCAGATAAGCATATGCACTCATACACATCACACGGTACATAAATTTTGGGTATTATGGGTAATTCAAGTAGTGGGATCAATACCCAAACTACCTTAATTAAATTTGGGTATCTAGGGTTACTATCCGAAATTGTAATCCAGATTTCAGGTTGGGGTCTAGATAATTCGAGTTCAGGAATTAAACATTGGGTTTTATGCCCACCCCTAGGTGAGAGTGAGGACAGCAAGCCGAGAGACGTAGAGAAATTAACATTACGTAATATCAGATATATAGGATTTGTAACCAGCCATAGGGCTTGATTTGGCATGATGCCAAGATGTTTGAGTTTGCGACACACTCTAAAAGAAGAAAGAAGAAAAAATGCCTAATAGGATTCTGCAAGACTAGCGCCCGGACGGACGGACGGACGCCACCGCTGCTCTTTTACCGTGTGTAAGCTTCATCTTGACCTGGACCTCAACTTGCTACGGGGCCACCACGCGGGCATCGCGCCGCCGTCGGCCTACCCGAGGCCACCACCTCCGCAGCATACGCGCGCTTGTAGGGTAGGGTTTCCCCACCGAGCTCGAACTAATGTGGCGAGATGGAGGGAAGGTAATGGAGAGGAGAGGAGAGGGCGAGCCGCAATGCGCGAGGAAGGCGCGAGGTAGGAGCCAAAGCTCTACGACAGGCCGTTGTCCGCCAGTCACCGGCGCCATTGCAAACATGTACAATACCTGATCTATTTTTGAAACATCCAGATGAAACATTTGCAACATACATCTGAAACAAATGAAATACTTGAAACGTGCGTGTATAGCCATAGTAATATATATGCAACATCCAGATCTACTTTTGCAACATCCAGATGAAACACTTGCAACATAATTTTGAAACATCCGAAACACTTGAAACATACGCTTGAAACATGCGTGTATAGCCATAACAACATGTGCAACATCCAGATGAACCGCTTGAAACATACGTCCAAAACACTTGAAAACGTACACTTGGAACATGTGTTTATTGTCATTGCAACATATGCAATATCTCAAATATACTTCTACAACATTCAGCTGAAACATTTGAAACATAAGCCTGAAATGCCTGAAACACTTGAAACATGGCGTCACCGGCGGCCACGGCCTACTTGGTGGGGAATTGCCGTAGCCAGCAAGCTCGGATCAGAGGGACGTCGCTCCGCTCGCTCATGCAGTCGGCGTAGCTTGTCGCTCCTCTTGCGATTCTCCCACGCCTACTCACGGTCCAGGCTCGCGCCGATCGGCGCGGCCTCGCTGCTCGCTCATCACAGTCATCCAGTGTCATCCGCTTGCAGGAGACGAGATACGGCACGGCCGGCGATGGGGTGCGGCGTGGTGGTGGGATGGACACGGCGCAGTAGGGAACGGGGCGCAGTGGGGGGAAGGGGGTGCGTCGGGGCGGAGTGGGGCGAGCAGATGGGCGGTGACACCGCGACGGGGCAACGCGATGTGGGTTTTTTTTAGAGAGATGGGGCCGGTCCGCTGTGCAGGCTTGGGAGCCGCGTCTGGATGGAAGGTCGTGGCTGAGCATTATTACCCAATAGGATTTGTAACTATCCATAGGGCTTAATTGGGCATCGATGCCGAATGTTTGAGTTTGCGACACCATTTCGAAGAAGGAAGAAGAGAAGTGCTCAACGATGCTGAGTATTATATTGGAGTTTTAGTGTCGTGGTTTTAGAAAGCTTTGAGTTGTTTTGATGTAACAAATCTTATAGTTTTCAGAACCATGGTATTGCTAAAACTATAGTATTTTTTAAGATTCATAAACTCAATTCTATACGATTTTTAGAGTTTCTCTCAAAAGTCAAAACTATGATATGTAAACAGCCCCTCAGCGTCATCGTAAACGCATCCTTGTGCTCTGCATGCCTTCGGATATTTGATGCATTGAAAAAAAATCGAAAGGTAATCGAGCAACTTCACCGGATTAAGAAAGGAGCCCCCCTTCACTATATTCTTGCATAAGCTCTAGCATATCTTCTTTCCAATCCACGTTCTCTTAAGGGCATGTTTGGGACCGCTCCGCTCCACGTTTTTCAGCTTCGCTCCACGTTTTTCAGCCAAACGGTTTCAGCTCCACGCACTCTGCTCCAGGAAAAAGGGTGGAGTTGTGAGAGCACCTAAAGAGGTACTCCACAAACTCCAGTTTTTTGTGGAGCTGCTCCACGGTGGAGTTTGTGGAGCAGAGTTTGTGGAGCAGTCCCAAACACCCCCTAAATCTCAATCTCTCAAAAATAGTCCTCTCCGTCGGAGCTGGTAGAGCTGCTCTTGGCATAACGTAAGGCCCTCTTTTGATCAAAGGGACAGTTAGCTGCTAATGATTGGATCTTTAAATCCAAACAAGTCTATCTAATTGTTAACTGAATACTTAACTAACAACTATTTACTAGTTGGACCAAATTAGCTAATAGCAACTATATTAAATCTATTAGTTATGATCTACTCCCTTCATCCCAAATTATAAGACGTTGGACTTTTTTGACTCCAAGTTTGACCACTCGTCTTATTTAAAAAAATTGTGCAAATATAGTCAAATTTAAGTCATTCTTGAAGAATTTTTATTAATAAACCAAACCACGACGAAAGAAGTAATATTTTACACAAATTTTTGAATAAGACGAGTGGTCAAACTTGGTGTAAAAAAAGTCAAACATCTTACAATTTAAGATGGATTGAGTACTAGTTAGTAAAAAAAACTATATTAGTTATGATCTAGTAGCTAGCTAACTATTAGCAGCTAGCTAATGGATCTAACTAGGACCTAGGTAAGTTCGGCTTTAGCTTTCACACAAACGGATCATACATGCAAGATTTATAGGTTTAGCATACAACAGTGTGCATCTAACTGTCCAAATGCTCATCTCAAAGGGAGAAAAAAAAAGCAAGAACAATATCCACACGTACGCTCCAGCTGACAAGGCATGCTTACTCCTGAAATATTTTTATTATGATAAAGAATTATCTGTCGCGGGGAAGCCCTAGAATCTAGTGTGTGGAAAAGGCAGGCTGCAGGCTCTCTGTATACAATATATGTTTACAAAAGGATGGATTCGCTTGAGAGACCAATCATCCCAACTATCTCCCAGCATCATGTCCCAAAATTTCTTAATAACGCATCCAAAAAAAATACCAAAAATAAACAAAATTGCAACGCTCCTCCTGCAGAAATGTACATACGGTGAGACAAATCGCCCGTTTTGCAAGCGAGCACCTGTCCGGTTGGTCGGACGGTGCACCTTCCACACCCTGCCGGCCCAAGTTCGATCCCCTTGGGGCGGATTTGTTGATTAGAAGTGGCGTAGTTTATCTGCACGTTGAAAAAAATCTTCTCAGCACAGGTAAGAAAAGG